TAACGAGTTGCAAAATATAATCACCACAATAACGTTAAAACTCAGACCCTCAAATACTGGTAAACGGGACAAGGTTCTAAAAATAAATAATATTATTATTTCATAAAGGTTGTCTTCTCTTTTTATAGTATTTTCAATTGAATTTTTCCTAGGGCTTCATACCTTTGGTATTATATACATATAATTGAACTTGTAATTCGCTATTTAAATACATGTATAAGTAAAACAAATAATTACTTATTATAAGAATAGATAAGACCTATACACTTTTCACACACAACAAATGTATTATTTATATTATTTATGTATGAAAACTGTAAAAAACTTAGTTTGATGCATAAATACTTAAACCACCCCCCCCCCCTCATTTCATAATCCTGGCTACACCACTGGGTTTAATAACAGCACAAAACCTGATGAAGACATGTTAAAGCCAATTAGATAACGGAGATAATGTTTGTTGTAACAGTTATTTTTTTTTTTATTGAACTTAAGCCCGGTGACAAAGGCCATTAGCTGTTGTAGGGGTTATGAATTGAACTTATACGTATTTACTTACCAAATTGTTTAAGCTTAAATAGTTAAATTAGCAACAATTCAAGTATGACAATTATGTAGTTGAAAGTTTGCGATTCAAGCGAAGACCGTTAGGTACTTACCTGATTTTATCACATTGCACTTGATCTCTTAACCGAAAGTTGGGCGTTTTTTGTATAGATACGCTGCGCGTTGCAGGCCACAATAATATGTTTATCGTACAGTTTAAGGCAGAGTTTCTCGACGGGTGTGTCGCCAAGAAGAGATTGTTTATTCATATTATTCGTGTTCAAAGTGAAAACCGCAGGTTAGAAAAACACTAATCCGTCCGTTTTCTCAAGATGTGTGTGGCCATTTTTACGGATCTAAATCGAGGCATCGTCGTAAAAGAAGGGGGTCGATGAGCACTGGTTTGTAGGACGGTCGAACACGAGCGACGCGTTAACGAATTAACAAAAATAAAATGTATAGGTACATATACATATTATTATAACCACTTTGGGGAAATGGGACGCCGGAAAACCGATCGGATGTACATCACACTATACTCCGAACGCGAATAGAACGAAGTCGAAATGCACGATTTATGCAAGTGTGTATCTCTCGGATTCGTATTTTTTGTTTCGTCCCGCTCACAATGGGATTACACAAACCCCGTTACCGCTGCGCTGTGTATGATTTCACTTGTGGGAATACACGGCGCATACCTACCGAATAAACAATTTACAAGTGAGTCGCTGCGTAATCAAATTATATATTTTGAGCACATCCATATTTAAGCGTCGTTGAGTAGGTTCTGTGCGCCTGCGCCAGGTATCGCGTGGTTACTCTGGTGACTACTCACCGTGTACCTAAACCTTACCTACGACTGTTGCGGTGGGCGCACGGTTTAGACTTCAAACGCACGCGCGATTCGTCGTAAATTCTTAGCGACCGCTAGGAGTCGTACACGGAAAATGAAATCATTTACGAACGTGTTTCGGGTGACGTAAGTCTGATCGAATGTATTGAAAAAAAATGTTTGGGCACGATATTTTCGCCTGAGAATCGAACGAACGATCGGAGTACACAAGTTTAGGTGCACATTTTAAAGTTCTTTTTTTTTTTAATCATCGTGCATCAAGTCATTATAAACTTCTGGAAAATGCAAGTTTCATAGTTGATAAGCCCATTAGAAACATGCGATCATTGATTGAAAGTACTAATATGGATTAATGAGTGAATCCTATTGCAAATTTAAACTTAAATTTGAACGCATGAAAATTAGTTAAATCTTTTTTTGTTTTGTGGCGCCGTTTATTTATTTAAATTTCTATGCAACTGCAATTGTATCAAATATTGAATAGTACAGCAAAAATATTGATTACTAACATGAATTTTAAAACGTCTAAAAATGGACATGCTGACTTAATGTGCTAACCTGGCTTAACATATTTGAATCATTCAGTACTGTTTATATTTTCTAACCGGAGTCAAATCAAATTAATTTCTCTGCGATATATGAAACTATATAGTACGTCATTCGTTTTTACTAACTAGATGCTCCATGAAAAATTAATATGTGTGACTGTGTATGTTTATTTCCCTTTGTTAATATTTACACAAAAAAAAATTTTTAAATGCAACGAAATTCATGACGGTCGACCTCAAAAATTTACTCTGCGTAAATATTGTATATTAAATACGTTAACATTCACTCTGAAAAAGAATACAATACGAGTCAAACAAAAAAATATTTATGTTTGTTCGGTATATATATATATGGTAATTTGCCAAGCATTGTCACCCTCGCCCACCATTTTTCCTTTAACGTTGAATAAATATTTAAATTGTTATTTTTCGAAGTTTTAAGTTTACTTACCTACTCGAGAACCATATTTTCGAATCATTAGAACTTTGAAAAAATTCAAGGCGTGGCATGTGGAGATATATAAAACCGTATTCAAATCAGAACCTTTCTTTTTCATTGTAAATTGTTTATTAGTTCATTTTTTTCAAAAATGTTAATGTACCTATATAAATCTAAATATTATTTTGTTTTAAATGTTTGTACTCTTAAGATAATAGATCCGAAATATATTCTGAGGGCTATAATATAAATATGTTTTATAAATAATTATTAGTAACTTATAACAATGTGTAAACACTATTTTCAAATGGTAAATATCACTAGATTCGATACTAAATCTACTTTATATTTTTGTAAAACACCATCTCTAAAAACTAATATACTTAGTGTTTACATTTTAATAACTCGGAAACTACTCCTCTGTGTTCGTTGTATTTCATTGGTTACGTCAAATTATTCATCGTCCTATTTGGAACAAAATAAATAGCTCGTACAACCACAAAACACTCTTTCAATGGTGTGAAAATCCAAACCACATCTTTAAAAATGATCCTTGAGTATGTATCGTTAAGAATTGCATTATTAAAGGAAAACATGTTGGTGAGCATGCTTGGCAAATAGACGTGTATACAGAGTGTACGAGTATCGTGTAATTTGTTTGTATTCCATCAACTCGAATTGTATAATACATATTCAGCAGTGCGTACAGAATCCGCGGGTTGTCGTCCGTTACATACTCTGTTTCACTATTACGTTATTTCATAGCCAAACAGTTCAACTGGCAGTTCACATTCACTCATTATACAGCCAACAACATATTATTTTCTCAAAATAATAACACTCGGCGGGTGTATGCGTATTTCGTGTATGGCACACTGTAATCGTCGAGGAGAATTTCGGTGAATTTCATTATTAACTTGTTTAGAATACAATGCAAATGGCGGTCAATGAAAGATTTTAAAAACCATTCAACTCCGTGGCGGAAAAAAAACCTTCCATGCGGTTCATTCACTCTACAGAGAAGTCTAATAATAAAAATATTCAGTTATTTTTTAAACATTTAATTTAAAAATTTATCGTTTATACTGTTCGAATTTCTGTCGATAGACGAATGAAAAAAAAACAAAGTATTAACAAAAATAGTAACCGTTTTTACGTTTTGTCGAATTCTATCGATGAGAATAATATTAAATGATATACAATAATGATTTTTCTTTCACTTTCTCTCAATTTATTTATATTAATTCAACTAGCCGTGTACCGTCTTGCCGTCTCCACTGATGCGGTTGACTTTTCGCGATAAACGTGCCTACACAGTAAATCGTACAACATCTAATAATTGAAAATAATCATTTCCAACTACGATAAATAAACGTTTATCATTGGTCATTACTATTCTGACCTACCCGAAACGTTTTCTCTCCGATGTCGATCATTAAATCTCTCCATTTCCGTGAGTCTCAATCTCGTTTATTATCTACGCTTTTTCCGATACGTTTAACTCGCGTTACACGCGCGATACGCTCACAACACGTATTCATTATGTACACCTGATTTTCCTAAACTTCTCGTACGAACTTTGAACACAATTCTCATACTAGGTAGTGATTGGGATAGAATATAGGTATATTACTCATTTTCGGAGAGTTATTCGGATACGAGATTTCAAAAGACAATTACTATAGACGTCTCATTGAACTTCAAATACATTGCAATACCTACTATCCACAAGAATCGACGTAGTTATCAAATATGTGACACGATTTTCGAAATGTTCTGATGCCAACGGCCAAAATCCTCTTGTGGTAGTCCGATTTTTGTCGGAATTTAACAATTCAAGGACTTATCATTAAATAATTATAAAAGCTAAGGAATGGTCGAAAATCCCGCATCTGCAAAACGCAAACAAGTTCCCAATTCCACTCACTGGCATGCAGAGATCATCCTTTGAATTTGTTCGGATACCCTGTATCTATACGATTTATGACGTATAATATGTACTAAATTTTGATTTATCAATTAACATTACTCTACGTATTCTACATTACACATTAGTCTACTATCATACACAAAACCAAATACCAATTAACAACCTCACTAAACGGCCATCAATCACAGTGTTTCTCAACTAAGATTGTGACTCAATTTAGAATCGTTAATAATTTTGAACGTGTCACCAAAATATTAAGACATTGGTAATTGTAATAAAATAATAAAATGTAATTAACGTCATAAGACTTCTTATTATTGTATATGTAATAAATTAATTTTCAGACTTTTTCATCGCATATTACTATTATTTTCAATGATATATTTTAGATCCTGGGCTATGACAGCACATTGCGGTTTTAGTGAAAACTATTTGTTATTTTTCGTTTTTTACATAAGTCAAATAATATTATTTTTACATATTGTATTCTCAAAAACTCGAAGGAAAATGAAACGTTGAGATAGGGATATCCTTAAAACGTGACATTAGAACTCGTTGGATCGTTTTTATTTGTTTAGATAAGTTGTCGTCGTATTCATATAACCCTCCGAAATTAATATTATTTTCTTATAGCATTCAAATGTATATTATTATTATTTATTTTATTTGTTTTTCGTTTTTCAGCTCCGGAAGTGTTGGCTCAGAAGCCCTACGGGAAAGCAGTGGACGTCTGGAGCATCGGTGTGATTTCGTACATATTGCTGTGCGGATATCCGCCGTTTTACGACGAGAACGACGCGAATCTCTTCGCTCAAATCTTAAAAGGTAAGTCATATTGTAGAGTCACTCCGTGCGCTTAATATAATATTGCAATTTCGAGCACAAATCAAATAGATAAGGTATGTTACATTGCAACACGTGCAGGTGTATAATGACTTATGTATTCGTTCATATACATATACATTTTAGGTATACATATTTAAATGCATTTATTTTTGAAAGGTAATTCAATGGTCAACATTTTTCAAATGCTCCCAACAAGTCCTGATAAAAGTACAAAATAATATTCTCTAGGTATATTTTACACTCCCGCCTACTTTCTTAATTTCTTTTACTCGTATAAACAGTAATAATTTGACGTAAATGTGCCATGTCACTTATCGACAAAAGGATAGAAACGCAACTGATAAACTACAAACACACATAATCGTTTTTATTTGGTTTTAAATCATTCTAACGCTTGTTAGTTAAATTTTTACCGTGCAATCTTCTAACCAAAACTACCCAAAAATATTAAATAGAATCCCCATGTCATTATAATACCAGTAGATCCATTTGACACTTATTAAGACACTCATTATTTCGTAAACTATAAATGATTTTGAAAACTTTTTTATAATGTTTAGTCGTTAAAATACATTTTCTTTAAAAAAAAAGATTTTTACTATATTTTGCTATCGTTATATTTTTTATTTTTTCGTATATTTTGATAACTTTATAAAAAATCTTTAAACTTTAAATTTCTATAAGAAAGTGATTTCAAAATGTTCAAGCATTTCAATTCGAAAAAAATAATTTTATCAACATTTATAATATAACAATTAACGTGAATCACACTCATAACTAGGGTTTGGGTTTAAATGACTTTAAAAATATCAATGACCTAAAAACTCTAAAAAAAGTCCACAGAATTGACAGTGGATTTTCAAAAGTCAAGATAATTATAATCTTTTATTTATTGGAGAAAGAACATGGCGGACATTTACGAGCTTGAGAATGTCGACTAAATCTATAACGAATTTTGCGTGTACCCTTATTATTATTACAGGTGAATTTGAATTCGATTCTCCGTACTGGGACGACATTAGCGATTCCGCGAAAAACTTTATACGGCAACTGATGTGTGTTGATGCAGACAAGCGTTACACGTGCCGCGAAGCACTGGCTCATCCATGGTAAGTGTAAACAGAAACATGTAAGAATTCATTAGTTTTCCATTCGTTAGAGCAGTTCTACGTCTAAAATATATTGCCCACGCCCTTTCAAGGGCTGCTCCTGCTTCAAAATTCCACGACGGCCGCTATTTGATACAACATAATAATAATTGGGAAAAATCATCCAAATGAAAAACACGTATAAATATATCAAGCACATTTCTTAGGAATTTTCTCGCGTTCCCTGCTGCGGATACGCGATTACAGTGGAACTTTCACGTACAATATTGTGTTGATGATAAACTAGACTTAAAGTGTTTTCGTCAAATTTGTATCTTAAAAATGTGTCCTATAATCTCAAAGATATAGATACTGGAATATACGAGATTTCGCTATTGCTAAGAAAAAATTTTTAAGGCATATTTTGGGTTGTTTTCAGTGAGTGGTTTTGCCACTGGCTCATCTATAGTCAGTGAAAACAGAAACATGACATAATTCACTAGTTTTCCATTCGTCAGTGCAGTTCTAAGCTTAAAATATATTGCCCACACACCTTAGAGAGTTGTTCCAGCTTTAAAATTCTACAGTTCGATATAACTTAACATAATAATTGGGAAAAATCTTAAATCATAATGAAAAACATTCCCCGCTTCAGATACGTGATTCCAGTGAACTTTCCCTTACAATCGCGTAGATGATAAGCTCGACTTAATAGGTTTTCGTCAAATTTGTATCTTGAAAATGTATAATATAATTTCAAAAAATGAAAAGTATATTATTGGGAGTATGGAATTATGGAATATACCTATACGAGATTTCACGAGATTATTTAAAACATTTAAAAGGAGCATTTTTGGCAATTGTTCAGCTAGTCGTTTTTCTCGGCTCGAACACATTCTTTTTCATGTTCAAAGCAGATCTATTATAAATTCTGCGGGCATTAAATGGCTGTTACAAACAAAAACAAAACAATTTCAGTTACATCGGGAAATGTAAATTAACAAAACGACGTCTGCAGCGACCGTCGTGATTGTAAACACGAAATTAACGAGTATACCTATGACGTCCGTATAATATAATAATATTGTACATAACTATAATGTCTGCGTAGAGGAAAATTCGAATATTATTGCTATAGTATAAATGTTCAGAATATGTTACAGAATTACAGAAATACCTATGACGTCCGTATAATATAATAATATTGTACATAACTATAATGTCTGCGTAGAGGAAAATTCGAATATTATTGCTATAGTATAAATGTTCAGAATATGTTACAGAATTACAGAAATACCTATGACGTCCGTATAATATAATAATATTGTACATAACTATAATGTCTGCGTAGAGGAAAATTCGAATATTATTGCTATAGTATAAATGTTCAGAATATGTTACAGAATTACAGAAATACCTATGACGTCCGTATAATATAATAATATTGTACATAACTATAATGTCTGCGTAGAGGAAAATTCGAATATTATTGCTATAGTATAAATGTTCAGAATATGTTACAGAATTACAGAAATACCTATGACGTCCGTATAATATAATAATATTGTACATAACTATAATGTCTGCGTAGAGGAAAATTCGAATATTATTGCTATAGTATAAATGTTCAGAATATGTTACAGAATTACAGAAATACCTATGACGTCCGTATAATATAATAATATTGTACATAACTATAATGTCTGCGTAGAGGAAAATTCGAATATTATTGCTATAGTATAAATGTTCAGAATATGTTACAGAATTACAGAAATACCTATGACGTCCGTATAATATAATAATATTGTACATAACTATAATGTCTGCGTAGAGGAAAATTCGAATATTATTGCTATAGTATAAATGTTCAGAATATGTTACAGAATTACAGAAATACCTATGACGTCCGTATAATATAATAATATTGTACATAACTATAATGTCTGCGTAGAGGAAAATTCGAATATTATTGCTATAGTATAAATGTTCAGAATATGTTACAGAATTACAGAAATACCTATGACGTCCGTATAATATAATAATATTGTACATAACTATAATGTCTGCGTAGAGGAAAATTCGAATATTATTGCTATAGTATAAATGTTCAGAATATGTTACAGAATTACAGAAATACCTATGACGTCCGTATAATATAATAATATTGTACATAACTATAATGTCTGCGTAGAGGAAAATTCGAATATTATTGCTATAGTATAAATGTTCAGAATATGTTACAGAATTACAGAAATACCTATGACGTCCGTATAATATAATAATATTGTACATAACTATAATGTCTGCGTAGAGGAAAATTCGAATATTATTGCTATAGTATAAATGTTCAGAATATGTTACAGAATTACAGAAATACCTATGACGTCCGTATAATATAATAATATTGTACATAACTATAATGTCTGCGTAGAGGAAAATTCGAATATTATTGCTATAGTATAAATGTTCAGAATATGTTACAGAATTACAGAAATACCTATGACGTCCGTATAATATAATAATATTGTACATAACTATAATGTCTGCGTAGAGGAAAATTCGAATATTATTGCTATAGTATAAATGTTCAGAATATGTTACAGAATTACAGAAATACCTATGACGTCCGTATAATATAATAATATTGTACATAACTATAATGTCTGCGTAGAGGAAAATTCGAATATTATTGCTATAGTATAAATGTTCAGAATATGTTACAGAATTACAGAAATACCTATGACGTCCGTATAATATAATAATATTGTACATAACTATAATGTCTGCGTAGAGGAAAATTCGAATATTATTGCTATAGTATAAATGTTCAGAATATGTTACAGAATTACAGAAATACCTATGACGTCCGTATAATATAATAATATTGTACATAACTATAATGTCTGCGTAGAGGAAAATTCGAATATTATTGCTATAGTATAAATGTTCAGAATATGTTACAGAATTACAGAAATACCTATGACGTCCGTATAATATAATAATATTGTACATAACTATAATGTCTGCGTAGAGGAAAATTCGAATATTATTGCTATAGTATAAATGTTCAGAATATGTTACAGAATTACAGAAATACCTATGACGTCCGTATAATATAATAATATTGTACATAACTATAATGTCTGCGTAGAGGAAAATTCGAATATTATTGCTATAGTATAAATGTTCAGAATATGTTACAGAATTACAGAAATACCTATGACGTCCGTATAATATAATAATATTGTACATAACTATAATGTCTGCGTAGAGGAAAATTCGAATATTATTGCTATAGTATAAATGTTCAGAATATGTTACAGAATTACAGAAATACCTATGACGTCCGTATAATATAATAATATTGTACATAACTATAATGTCTGCGTAGAGGAAAATTCGAATATTATTGCTATAGTATAAATGTTCAGAATATGTTACAGAATTACAGAAATACCTATGACGTCCGTATAATATAATAATATTGTACATAACTATAATGTCTGCGTAGAGGAAAATTCGAATATTATTGCTATAGTATAAATGTTCAGAATATGTTACAGAATTACAGAAATACCTATGACGTCCGTATAATATAATAATATTGTACATAACTATAATGTCTGCGTAGAGGAAAATTCGAATATTATTGCTATAGTATAAATGTTCAGAATATGTTACAGAATTACAGAAATACCTATGACGTCCGTATAATATAATAATATTGTACATAACTATAATGTCTGCGTAGAGGAAAATTCGAATATTATTGCTATAGTATAAATGTTCAGAATATGTTACAGAATTACAGAAATACCTATGACGTCCGTATAATATAATAATATTGTACATAACTATAATGTCTGCGTAGAGGAAAATTCGAATATTATTGCTATAGTATAAATGTTCAGAATATGTTACAGAATTACAGAAATACCTATGACGTCCGTATAATATAATAATATTGTACATAACTATAATGTCTGCGTAGAGGAAAATTCGAATATTATTGCTATAGTATAAATGTTCAGAATATGTTACAGAATTACAGAAATACCTATGACGTCCGTATAATATAATAATATTGTACATAACTATAATGTCTGCGTAGAGGAAAATTCGAATATTATTGCTATAGTATAAATGTTCAGAATATGTTACAGAATTACAGAAATACCTATGACGTCCGTATAATATAATAATATTGTACATAACTATAATGTCTGCGTAGAGGAAAATTCGAATATTATTGCTATAGTATAAATGTTCAGAATATGTTACAGAATTACAGAAATACCTATGACGTCCGTATAATATAATAATATTGTACATAACTATAATGTCTGCGTAGAGGAAAATTCGAATATTATTGCTATAGTATAAATGTTCAGAATATGTTACAGAATTACAGAAATACCTATGACGTCCGTATAATATAATAATATTGTACATAACTATAATGTCTGCGTAGAGGAAAATTCGAATATTATTGCTATAGTATAAATGTTCAGAATATGTTACAGAATTACAGAAATACCTATGACGTCCGTATAATATAATAATATTGTACATAACTATAATGTCTGCGTAGAGGAAAATTCGAATATTATTGCTATAGTATAAATGTTCAGAATATGTTACAGAATTACAGAAATACCTATGACGTCCGTATAATATAATAATATTGTACATAACTATAATGTCTGCGTAGAGGAAAATTCGAATATTATTGCTATAGTATAAATGTTCAGAATATGTTACAGAATTACAGAAATACCTATGACGTCCGTATAATATAATAATATTGTACATAACTATAATGTCTGCGTAGAGGAAAATTCGAATATTATTGCTATAGTATAAATGTTCAGAATATGTTACAGAATTACAGAAATACCTATGACGTCCGTATAATATAATAATATTGTACATAACTATAATGTCTGCGTAGAGGAAAATTCGAATATTATTGCTATAGTATAAATGTTCAGAATATGTTACAGAATTACAGAAATACCTAT